AATGATTTGGAGATKCTCTAAGAAGCAGAATTAAATGAGGGGCACCTCGATATGGTTGTAGCTGTTACAGTGTAAGAACACAGTGTTTGCAGACAGGTGAGTGCTGGATTTGATTCGATATACCAGGGGAAACAGGCAGCTTGAAGACAAACATGTGCCYGAGAGCTCTCCTTGCTGTTGATCTAATAAAATACCTTATTTCCACAACCCTTGCCTTGCCTGCAATTAAATGAAATCCTCCCAGAATCATACTGTGTGACAGATCTTTTAATTCATTTCAGATCTGCTGTAGCTCCATCCCATCCCTGTGCTTCACCGTGGGAGCAGCAGCATTTTGTGCCCCTTCCTTCGYCTTTTGTAGGAACTGTGCAAAGATTTAATAGCAGCACATTAATGAGGGTTTGTGTGGCTGTGGAGTGAGGGGAAACTTATCTTTTGAAGGTGTGAATTATGGAGTGTGTGGATTAACAAAGMGAGAAAGAGCAAAGGTATGTTCAGAGCTGCCATTGATGGAGTTAATGGCAATGGCAGATGGATCAGCCTGACCTTTCCATCTCTAATTCCATACACTGCACTGCCCTTTGTGCTGGGTGGTGAAGAGGAAAATAAAATAGGCTAGAAAAACTTTCTGAGCTCCAAACTAGGATAAAAATGTCACATTTCGAGGCCATGGGGGAAAAAACCTGTCATCTCTGCTTTTTTAGAAAAAAGCAGTAAGTAAAAAAAGTATGAAACAAAACTGGAAATATAAACTAGTAACTTTTGATTATGAGAATTGAAATAATTTCTTTATGATTTTAATAACATCTCTTTTTTTATAATCATCCTTTATCCCAGATGAAGCTTCACTATATTTGTGGCTTTATCTTTAAAAATGAGTGGTTAGACCAGCAAGACCAAACAATCAGTGTGACTGACTTTTAAACCAAAAAGTTTCTGAAACAATGCAGGGTTTCCCATCCCACCCCTGGTGAAGCCCATCCTGCACTGCCTGTTCCACCCAGGAGTAACATGGGCTACCACATTTTAACATGGGCTACCACATTTTAACATGGGCTACCACATTTTAACACAGGCTACCACATTTTAACATGGGCTACCACATTTTAACACAGGCTACCACATTTTAACATGGGCTACCATATTTTAACACGGACTACCACATTTTAACATGGGCTACCACATTTTACCATGGGCCACCACATTTTAACACGGGCTACCACATTTTAACATGGGCCACCACATTTTAACACAGGCTACCACATTTTAACACGGGCCACCACATTTTAACACAGGTTACCACATTTTAACATGGGCTACCACATTTTAACACAGGTTACCACATTTTAACATGGGCTACCACATTTTAACACGGGCTACCACATTTTAACATGGGCTACCACATTTTGCCTTGTGCTGCCTGGGAGTGCTCCCATCTGACCCACTGAGCTGGAACAGAGGAAAAGAAATACAGGATTTCAGTTTTAGCACCATGAATCATACTTGCCTTTTGCAGCCAGGCTCCTTAGGCCAGCTGCTGGCTATAGGATTCATATTTAAATATAAAACCAGGGCTTCTGAAGCAATTAGTGCTTGTAAATAGCTGCAGGATAAGCCTGGGAATCCCAGTGTGGATCCAGATGGGCCACTGTCTTCACGCTGTAGAATGTCTCACTCATCTATCCTCAGGCTCTGAGAGTTTAAAAAGTGAAGCATCTATCAAAATCTCATTACTTGGGAGACGATGGGAGCTCATGGATTATAAACCTTAATTTATTTTTTATATCTTAAATCACGGTGCCATATCCAAGGCACATAAATTTGTGCAGAGCAAACTGCCGAGGCATTCTGAAGGAGTTGAATAAACACTCCCAGCAGTGCCAGGGGGAGCAGGCAGGTGCGTGGGGTGAGGATGGCAGAGAGGTGCTGATGGCACMGTGCTTTGGGAACTCCTACTCTTGTTGTTTTTGCAATAAGATGCTCGTATTTCCTCGGAGGAGAGGAGAGAAGGTTAACGCTATCAGTTTCTGGGAACACAGGCACTCCCCAGGGACTGAAAGAAAATATTCCTGGATCCCCCAAAGACCATAATTTCACTCCCAAGTGTCTGCTAGCAGAAAGACATGCCTGTCTGCCTTCAGCTGAGTATCATCACCAGGGGCTGATTTATTAAATGGTATCAACCTTCTCGACAGTCTTTGAGCTCGTGCTCTGTAGGGTTTGCTGGGTGGTGTAGGAGGCTGCAATGGGTATCAGTGTACAAGGCAGTATTTTAAGTTGAGCAGCGCTAAGCAGCCTGATCCTGTGATTTTAGGATCATGCAGCTCCTTGCAGAGACTCAGCTTGCCAAGTTTTGTGTGTCATTTAAGGAGAAGTCTTTCCCACCGAGACCAAGTGGGTTTGGGAATGAGAGTGATGAGTCCCTGAATCCCTTTTAGATAATGCCCTCACCTCCTGGGACAGGGCCCAGAGGATTTATTCAGTCCTATCATTTGTGGCAGGTGGGGTTTGGTAAAGCACAGGAAAGACAGAAAGCTCAAAAACTCCATCAGAAGGATGCGATGAGTAAAGTAAAATGAAAAAACAGCCACAAAACCTGGGATGAGGGCAAGGGTAGGGGTCAAAACTGAATTTATTTGGTATGACTATTGTATATATGGGTAATAAAGGACTGTTTCTGTAGTATTTCACTCTGTAATATTTTATTCTGTAAAATTTTATTTTATTATTTTATTTATATTTATTTATTTTCTTATTTTATTATTTTATGTATATTTTATTTACTTTATTTATATATTTACTATAAATTTTATTTTATTATTTATTTTATTTCTATATCCTTTTTACCCCATTCACACACTTTGCCTACAACTGGACTCTTCCTCTGCTGCAATCAGAACAGTGCTGATTGCAGAGATAAGGCACACACAAAAGTGAAGGTGATACAGAATGGCAATTATAAATACATCTCCTTTGTTTGCCGGGGTGGACAGCCTTCCCCTGAAGGTCACTGTGACAATATTCCAGGATGTTCTGGTGGAGCTGGTGACTGGTGCAGCGAGGGGCCAAGCAGGGTAATCAGAGCTGACATCTGGGTGCTCACTCTCAGGGCTTCAGGAAATTTGTTTTGCTGTGTGCTAGACCCGCTCTGACTGGGCAAAGGGGAAAAGCCTATGTGGCTGTTAAAACAAGAGTGGAAAAAATATGGATCTGGAATAGGCATTGCTTTGTCCTGCCAAGCCAAGTGTTTATTGTGGAGGCCAGACACATCTGTCCTYCTCCAGCAGATATGGTGTTTCTTGGATTAAAAAGGCCGACTGTAGTGGAACAGTGGAAGAAATTGCTTCAGAAGGATGACTTGTTGGAGTCCTGTATCACATGGACCCTGTCAGAAAAATATKAACCACAACAAAAGCTGACACTCAGGGAGATGAAAGCAATATTGCTTGATATTGTGATTACCTTTATAGCAAAGTGCTGAAGGTGAGCAGTGGGGAATTGAGTCCTTTCTTCATTTGACCTGGGTGGTCACTATGATTACTTCAAGGGCTTTTTTTTTGTTTGTTTTATGTAATAAAAGAGCTGTAATAAAAGATTTGAAAAAAAAAAAAAGTTTTGGGAAAGGAACTGGAGACATGGATTGCACACAACTATTTGGGTCAAAGGGTTAGATTTAGATTTTTGCCAGGCTCCAGATGGAGATGGAGAGGAGGACATGGGCTGGAAGTGRCTGTGAAGCTGAATCCATCTGCACTGTACAGGCAATGAGAACAGCATCAATTTACTGAGGTKCACCTGACCCAAAGTTTGGCAGGAGAGAGATCCATGCAGGCATTATTCCCTGTGTGGGGTATTTCTGAGAATGCTGCTTGTGAATGTGGGTCTGCTCTGAAAGCTGCAGCGAGTGTGAATAACAACGCTTGTGACACTATCTCTGCATTTATATGCCCTTGCAGATTGCTGGGAGATCTTGGAAAACTGCAGCTTCRGTGGAACAATTTAGCTATATCAGGGATAAGGATTTTTTGGGGGAAACTTGACAGAAGAAATAAGATTTATCTCCTGGAGGTGCACAAGTTTCTTTTGGTAGAAGGAGGTTAGGGATATTTGCAGCTGGTGAATGTTCACTGAACACTCTGCACTGGAGRGAGGTTTATTATTTTTTATTCAAATCAGTGTATGTTAACATTTGGCCTTTTCTCTTTTTTTGGTTTGGACTCAGAAGATATTCTCATATGTTACTGTAATTTTTTTTCCAGAAAAGCAGATACCTTTTCTGTTCCTCTACAAAAGCTTTATGCCACAATAATTTAAGATTTCCTCCAGGTCAGAATATTTCTGCATGTAAAACCTCTTTGAAGGTYTAAATAGATTGTAACTGAGTTTTGACATGTATTAGCACGTGTCAGGTACAGCAGTTATTAAGGGAAGGGGAGACAAGGCACATTCCATCTCTCCTGAGTCTGACTCGCAGGTGTCCAGATCACTACAGGCCACGAGCAGGCAAAGCCACTAAAAAAAAAATCACCCTTTGTTGCTACAAGCATTAAAAACTCAATTTACCACCCATTTCAGCAATAGGGTGAGTAATAAGCTCTGGTTKCTGTCTTACAAAATTATGTTCCAGTATTGCGCCTGGGAAAATTGCCTTTTTATTCCTTTTAATGTAAATCTTTTCTACATGTCTCTCTCTAAGGTTCTGCATCCACACAGAACATGTTTTAAAATTATATTAAAGCACATATTTGTCCAGCATGATGTGCATTAGTTAAATAGGAGTTCCTGGGTTCTGCCCTGTTCCTCTCCCCTTTATGAGCTGAATATATCTGCATCCAAACAAATAATTTGATGGATTTTTTTTTTTTTTTAAACCTTTAACTCCTTTCATTCAGATATCAGGAAGGAGTGTGGCATGCAGAAGGAAATGCTCAGGCCTGGGTACTTTTTGAACAGAGCAGGTTTGAGCAAAGCCAGCTGACTCCCTGCCCTTCTCTCCCCAGGGCACRGCCTCCGTTCTGCAGCGCAGGTCCGACAACGAGGAGTACGTGGAAGTTGGAAGACTKGGTCCATCAGATTATTTTGGTAAGAAAATTCATCTAAGCATGGTTCAGAAAGACAGGCATGTCTGGGTCAAGTATTCATTGTCTTTAATTAGTGTCCCACTCTTACATGCAAGGGGTTATGTGTAGGGCAGGCACTGCTCTCAGCAATGCTCAGAAATTTCAGGGAAGCTGAATCCATTCCTTGGTTTACACCAGTATAGCTGACAGGAGACAGATCCAGAATCAGCAAAACAGTCTGAAAGCATTTGTTTTCAAAGGCATTTTACAGGCATGCATTATGCATGYGCAATGCATTTGTACTGTCAACAGAATTATGTAAAGTGTCTATCAAGGGATATAGAAAGGGAGATGTTCTACAAGCGGAATATGGAAATATTGGAATATGGAATATGCAGCCCTTGGAAGAGGGGAAGGTGACAGAGTGTTGTCCTTGTTCCCAGGTGAGATAGCCTTGCTGCTGAACCGGCCCAGGGCAGCCACCGTGGTGGCACGTGGACCCCTCAAATGTGTGAAGCTGGACCGGCCCCGCTTCGAACGAGTGCTCGGGCCCTGCTCCGAAATCCTCAAGAGAAACATCCAGAGATACAACAGCTTCATTTCGCTCACCGTCTAAATGATTCCTCTGGAAAGCTGCCTTCGTGTGACCTTGTGCACTTAAAATTTGCTCTGTGCAGCTCCATGGCTTTATGAAGAAAAAAAAATAAGAAGTGTGCATTTTATGTGTATTTTTTTTTTTTTTCTGTTTATGTCACGTAGTGGATGTCAGCTCAAATCTCATGTATCATGGAAGTGGGAGGATAACTGTTTGGATAAGACTAGCTTTGGGGAAGATTGGGGCTCTTTTGGGCTCATGGCTTGCAGACAAGATTTTTACCTATTGTTGATTCATATRGCTTAAAACTGTGGGTTCAACTATTTAAAATATGAATTTCTCTTTTCTTTATTATCTTTAAAGCTGGTCTTATTCACCTTTTGTCAAGGTTCTTTGATCAAGTGATGTGAAAGGTGTCCCTGCCCATGGCAGGGGGTTGGAACTCGATGGCYTTTCAGTTCCCTYCCAACCCAAACCAGTCTGTGATTCTGTGCCATCTCTCTGCCTGTCACTTCTGAAAGATTTTTCACTGGTTATGGACTGGGGGGGTTCTAAAATCCCATGGGATGGGTGGCAGTCTCATTTGTGAGATGCAGTTTAAGGGGAAAGGTTGGAGGATGGTTTTGATCATTCCAGCAAGCCAGGGTAAAATAAAGCTTTTGAGTGRTTTTGTTTGTGGCTTAGATATAGGGGCCATATTCCTCCATGTCACAAACYTTTTTGGGTCTGCTTTGTAGGATATGCTCAGGCAAACAGCCTGCTCCAGTCTTCTGGAGGTCAAGGGACAATGTTTTGTAAGAATTCAAACGGAGCCTTTAGGACCTAAGTTATTTGTCCTCAGCTTTTTTAAAATGAGGGTTTACATTAGAGTCCTTAGAAGTCCAGTGAGGGCTTCTCTGCTGAATTGGGCTTCAAAGCTCAGCAGAGTGTCCTCAGCCACTTCTCTGAACATTATATGAAATGCTGAAGAGATGGTGCCAGGTGCACCTCAGGGACAAATACAGCAGCTTGCTTTTAATAAGGTCCACTTAATTAAATTCAAATGCCTTTCTTCTAGGATATGATGAAATTTTAGAATTTTTAAAATTTTTCTGATAGCCAATTGAGTGCTATAAAATGCTGCTTCTCCTCCAAAAGACAAGTGTTTTGTAGCAAAGAGCACCAGGATCCTGAGCCCAGGTTCCTCCAGGGGCCTCACAGCCTTGCTGGCAGTCCTTGCTGCCCTGCCTAGACRTGGGGCTCCTCCTGAAAGGGAGCTTTTTGCAGCTCCCTCCATGCTTTGCAAAGCTTTACCTTTGCAGGTAAACTTCTTGTTGCCAGCAGCACTAAAGCTCTGCATCCCAGCCACCCTAAACAGCACTGCCTGCCCCTTCAGTTGGGGCAAAACTCCATTTCTTCTTTGCAACAACATTCTTCTGAGTAAATACAAACTTTCTGTACCTTTGACATGCCAAAGGTTATGCAGTGAAACATGGCAGCAATCTCCCTTTTGAAACTAGAGGTGTAGCTGACCTTGGCTAAAYTGCTAAAATGACTCCTACTGACACATAATATGCTTTCTTCTCTGGAATAAAAAAATATTGATTGGATACTTTCCTGTTGACTCCCACCACGGGCCCAATATTCCAGTAGCTGCCTGCAGTGGTTCTCACAGAGCTAAAAAGCTTCTCAGCTTCACGCTCCTCTCATCACTTAAAGGTGCTTAATTTATTTTCAGCAAAATTTCAGTGGTCCTGTTAGTGTATATTTGTTGCTGCTATTTATTATGATTATGTTMTGCTTCTTGCACGTGTTATGAAATATGACCATTCACAGTTTCCAGCCTTGWGATTTTTATCACCTACATTTATATAGGCAGACCCCCATTCTATATAGATAACTCAATGTATATGTGTTTGGTTATTTGCTGCACTGGTTTTGCATTCTCTTGTGCAATTTTTAAAAGAAATATTTTTTAAAGGTTACCAGTCACTTAAGTATGTTATTTTACCTGTTGCATTTCTGTTGTGTTGGTAAAAAATTTGTGAGTGTTTCGCATAATATGCAGGACACATCTCTTGTCAAACTGGCTTCACTGTTTAAAAGTTACTYGAGCACACAGACACACTGCAGATTCTTTGCTTTAAACCTTTACAGCTCATGGAAAATACATTTGAATTATGGTTCTGTTATAAGCAATCTCGAGAGAAATGTAACTGTCTAACACCAGGATTCCTGTGCTTTAAGTGGAACAAAATTATATTCGGTGACATTTTGAAGAGAATTGTGATATTTGCAGTGGATGATGGGACAGGATTACGGTATGAATAAAATTCTTCTACGTTATATGTGGCCACTGTGGGTTTATTGCTAATGGAAGTCTGTGTGAGTAGATGTCATGTTCCAGTTAAAATCTGCATATCATCAAAACTTTGAGCTCCACTGAAAATAATCAGATGCAAAGGGACAAAAAATAGACTAAGATTCCCAGTGCTATATATAGTAATGGAAACCAAACTGGTTTTGTGGAGGATTAGCACGAAGGAAAAAAATTCATCTGTTTAAATGTAACCATATATGTCTATATAAAGAAATAGSGGTCCAAGGTGTCCCTGGGACCTTGCTGCTCTTGTCCAGGTGCCAGCWGTGAAACCCTCAGGACTGATGCTGAGCCTGTCATCCATCCAGGGGGTACACCTGGGGAGAAACAGGCTCTTTCCTTCTCAAAACACCACTGCTGCTCCTTTTCCCCAGAATCACAGGCAAACCCATGGTCCCGACCACACCAGGGATSTGTCCCAGTCGTTCCTCTCAACTTCAGGCCACACATGGATAATAAATGCTGAAGCACAGCCCCATTTTTGGCACCAGGGATGTACTGTGCTGCTGCCATGGCTTGTGCTCATGCTGTGGGCTGGCTAGGAACGCTGAGGACAGATTCTCAGAGAAGAAAGAGCCTCCAAARGRAMCMWKG